GAAATATAGGCATGTGTGGGTTTGTGTACCTGTTTGCAGTGGTCTGGTTGAGTTGGTCCATACTCCACACAGCACCGACATTCTTGTTAACCTCAGTGACCCCAATGTCCCCAATGTGGCTGGGCTCCTTTCTTCTTAACAAGTCATTGACCTGAAAGAAAGTAAGAAAGAACGAGAAAAGAAAGAAAAGAAGAAAGAAAGAAGAACGAGAGAAAGAAAGAAGAAAGAAAGAAAGAACGAGAGAAAGAAAGAAAGAAAGAAAGAAAGAAAGAAAGAAAGAAAGAAAAGACAAAAAGAAAGAGAAAAGGAAAATACAAAAGAAAGAAAGGTATTTTTGAATCAAATTACTCCACTGATGCAACAATAAAATAATGAAATTGACTGATAACCCAAATATTCAGAGTTAAGGGAACCTGCAAGTCTGGTGTGGACCTGCAAAACGTAATGCTTTGTGCTGTGCTAACCTTTGCGCCGACAGCTTTGCCCAGATTAATGGCATTCTTAAGCCTCTGTTGGCCTCCGGAGGATGGAGAGTCGATGGAGCTAGACCCCAGGTTAGGATTAGCTGACGCTGGGGAGCGTCGGGCTGAGGTCTGGCCTGGCCTGGAGATCTGTGGACTTTGCTGCTGGGCAATGGAGTTCTCAAACATACTTTGATCGACTGGAAAAAAGAAAGAAGACGGGAAAGAAAAGGTGAATACACAGCAGTATTTAGCAGAAGATGTGTATCTGCTTTTAACAGCACATGCTGCAAAGCTACAGACCCTTCAAGCTGAGGATGAGATGCACAAACTGAGTTGTTGAAGGGAAGTAAAAGGAATACTCCACCAAAAATGCAGGAAAGCTGTTGATTAATGTTTGTATTTGTCATCACTTTGGGTCTTAATTGGATTACCATTATAACTGCTGCCAATCCAAGCTGACTAAAACTACTGCTGGCCACGTACAAGCATCTGGTGGAGTATACCTTAAAGTGACCATGTTCCTCCTCCTGTGTCGCTCTGCAGCTTTGAACACAACATGCATGACCACAGCAAGGTATTTCATGGGAATGCGTGCAACATGAGGGCCAGATGGCAGTGTAGTAACATTGTATGTACTGATCTTGGAATAACATTTAAATCAAAACTGAACACATGCAAGTAAACAGCAATAACGCTAATGGGAATGAAGAGGGAATTGACCAAAATACAGGATCAGAAACAGCAAAACATAAAAGGGGAGCTCTGGTGGTTGTCAATCCACTTAAGACAGAAGATCTTACCTCTTGGCGAGAAATGTTTCTCGGAAGGCATTTAATGAGACAGAAGTATCAGATTTCAGATCATTTTATCTCTAAAGATGCAGATCAATGAACTGATCCTGCTCAAACACAAAAATGTTGCTGATTCATGTCTTCTACAAGAGGACAAGTCAGAGGAGGTAATGGGTAGGAGTGCAGCCTGGAGATGCATACACATATCTGGAAGGTACAGTGTCTCGGCCAGATAAATGGAGAGAAAATATCACCATTTGGAATCAGTTGGAGCATCAAACTTGGTAACCTTGACTTCCATTTGCACACAAAAGCCTTTTTCACTTTCACTTTCACTCAGCCAATCAAGAGATCTACAAGAGCACATTAGCCAGAGGCCAGAGGAAATGTCGTCCAATATTATGAATCAACATGATACTGAGGGCGTTAAGAGTAACTTCAAGGAGACAGGGATATAAGAACAAAGAGAAAGGTATACATTTACTTAACAGCATAAAGCACTTATTCATAGGAGTCATCAAATCACAAAGCAATCACCACAGCAGGGAGGTGCAAAGTGGAACCACAGATAACCTTGCAATGAATGGAATTATATAGTAGATCCTGTGCAGGTAGCCACATTAAGACCTGTTCTGCTCTCTGTTTGAGTGTATTTAAAGCAGCATCAAGGAACTTTTAGTTTTTGTTGATGCTGACGGCCCCTGTGTTTCAATGATGTCAAGAGGAATCCGACTGGATACGACTGAATCAGACCCAGAGGCAGGCATTAAGAACAAGATGAACGTGGAGCTATTAGGCTACTGACAAATATCACAACATTGGTGTGGACATAAGATGAAATACAGTCCAGAAGTCCAGTTAGAATCAGTGTAAGTTTGAAGGCATATCAGATGCCAAAACACTGCATAAAGCTTAAAGCTATTTGTCAGTCAACATCGTTTGCTTGGAGAGCTTAAATAGCTCCTTAATTAATGAGATATTGTACAAGAGAATGTGACTGACTAATTGTTAGCATGGTCAACATAGCTAGCATGTTAGCGGTTGGCTTCCTAGCTACGATAGTTAACCAACTAGCCCTGCAAACAGTGCTTACACAACCACACATCAGTTACAATGAGTGTTAACAGAGAAACAGTAATTGCTTCTCTTCTGTGATTTGGCTTCTTGTAGCTGAATTTTGCCTTTGACATTTTGTCGGAACTGATGTAATTAAACAAAATATTGGTTGCTTTAAAGTGAAAGTAGTTATTGTATTTTTAATTTTGCTGTGAATGGAGTCTCTTATATGTTATCTAGTATAACTGCTAGTTAGTTATTGGCATTGCGTACCACATGAATCAGCAGTTTCTATTGGTAAAAATTGACATCTTACATTGTAATCAGCACTGGTTTTTACATTTCTCTTAGCGGTTTTTGTTTTCATTGCAGTTTTACAGTGGTGGAACTTGATAAAATGCATGGTTTTCATTGGAGGATTTCATACTGTTAGCTTACAAAGCTCATTGAGAGGACTGTATCATTTTTATGTAAATACCTTCTTGCCCATTTATTACAATGATATAAAAGGCACTTAATTGCCTTAAGTCTTTGCTCAATGTTCTGCCTGTTGGCCAAGGTCATTCAGGTTGTACTGACGGTACATCAAGGTCATCGAGTGATCTCAGGATCAATAGTGACACATTGCACAGGCTATGAAACATCCTTATTGATCCTATCAGACAACAACGCCACGTATCCCTCCCACTTTAACTCCTAATGGAGAGTTAATGGATGGACTTTGAAATGTAGTAAGCCCCTCGAAGGGCTCCATGAAGGACACTAGAAAGGGAAGATGTTTGTGCACAATGCCTAACAATGCGCTCTGGGAAATTTATGTATAATTAAAAACATTTAATGTTTTGCAGCTTTTCTCTCCACTTGTCTTCTAGAAGCTCATACTGCTGAAAAGGTGAAACCCGCTGTTTGGAAATGTGCCCAGGTGTCTCAGTCTGGCTCATTTACACACAGATGTGATTTATCATCACTATTTATGACCATTTCTCCGCTGGACTGTCCCTGAGCCAGCTCTGAAACTCTCTGCTGTTACGTTTCCTGTATACTCTAAACGAATGCAAATTCTGTGATTTCTCAAAGGCTGTCAAATAAAGTGCTGTGTGCAAATGCCAGTATACCCACAGTGATTAGAGGTCAGTTTGTCCCCACCAAAGTGAGTTACAGTAAAGGAGATGAAGTTGGAAATATACCATTAGTGAAATCCATGAAAACAATGATGATTTAGATATGGCATTTTGCCTTCATTTGATAATGATGATATAGACATGTTATGGCAGGGAGAGAGAGAGACAGATGGAGATAATATGTGACTAAGGTCCCTGGCTAGAGTAAAACTGGCTGGGGATATTATAGATTATAAGATTATGTGGGAGCCGGATACTGGGCACCTTGTGGTACCAATTTTTATAGTAACAAAACAAAGGATGGAAAAATGTACCCTACTTTTAAGTATGTGTGAGGATCTTTGATTATTAAGTGACTGCTTTCATTAAATACAAATCTTTAATGTTAGAAAACAAATCTCATTAAAAGTGAAACTTATTACAAATGCTACATTTCGTTTAACATTGTGTGCTTTCTATAAGATATTCAGCTTGCTGTATGCAGGAACTGGCAGATCCTTGTGCATTCAGGGAAGTCTGACTACATAGGTTTGATGGTAAGAGCTGTTGGGTGTTAGTCTATCAGAAGTTTACATTACCAACGTACATGAAATAGCAGAAAAACAGCGGTGGAAATTTTAAAAACAACACAACAAGGCTATTGAAGGCCATTCCAGAATAATGTACTGTACAGTTTAACCCAACAGGCACTAGATGTTATCCTATAAGAACTTGACGATCAAGTAGGGTTTAAGTGTATTATATATATATATATATATATATATATACACACATACTATATATATATACACTCATTAGGAAAACGATGTCTCACGCCAGTGCTAAATCATGGAAATAAAGATAGAGGGCTAAATGTAAAAAGCTGTCTAAGGCTACATGTGAAACACACAACTGATAACATGATATTGTAATATAAATAAAAGACTATGTGGCACACTGTGGTGTACAAGGGCCAATAGCCGAGTGCTTTCATTTAGAACACTCACTATTCATATTCTCAGCTTTACTCCTTTGAATTGTGCCCTTTTTAAATCAATTTCTTCCTCATTCAAATCTCTGTAACTTTTGAAGTGACCACCACGCAGCACTCACAGAAATGTTAGATGGAAGGGAACCATGTGCAGCTAAAGCTTTTCAGTCTATCACAATGCCTGGTGAACACCATTCTTTCTCTCTGTGAGTTGAATCGTAAAGAAAGGCAGTGCCACATCTCTCTAGAGAAAATATTATTTCAATACCCACAAATTGAAAGATCTGATGTTAGTGAGTGCTGTGTCCTCTTGACAGGATGCTCATTCACTGCAGTTTAACAGATACTTTGTTCGATTTGTCACTTCCTTTGCTGAGATTTCCCAGCAGCGTCTGTACCTCACAGCAGAGAATTTAATTTGGGCAAACATTTAATCTATGTCCTCCCAATTAGAGGAGATGGGACCGTCCTCTGTGCTGCAGCCCCACTGTGATTTAAGCTGATGAAACAGGTGGATTTTTTTCTACAAATCTTGCTTACTGAAGCATTAAAATTAGAGAAGTAATTGTTAAATCACCCCGCACTGCAACTCAGCAGAGGTAATATTTCAGTGAAGACTGTTCTAAATCAAGCAGTGCGTTGTATATTTCAGCTGAATCTGTCTAACATTTGGTTTTAAACTAAGCAAAATTTTAATGAAAGGTTGTTAGAAGACAGCAGTCTGTCAGGCACACTGTTGGTAAATCCACAAATACCAACATGCATATTAAAATTAGAGCACAGTGTTCAAGGACAAGGTTGCACCACAACAAAAACCAGGGCAGCAACTCATAACTAACAAAAAAGGACAAAACAAGGTTTGGAATTTGGTAAAATGTCTCCAGTTGACAAAACAAGAAATAAAGTAATAAAAGTATGTGAAATAAAAACCTGAGTCAAATTGCAACTTTGTCATGCACACCCCCAACCCAAGAAACACGTTGTCATGGAGACAAGTGAGTTATAGTTGTCGGCTACCATTTGAACCTATTTTGGCAAAACATAACACCATTAAAAGCGTGCCATATTGCTTCTAGCAATATGTTTGCAATGTACCTGGATGCACAATATATCATTGGATTACATTGGTGTTAAAGAAAATGTAAGTTCTGCAGTTAAAAGGAACATCTTTTTTCTATGATTTCTGAATGGGTTTATGGACGATAATTTGTAATGTTCATAAGCTTTGAGTGAGTGATTTATAACTTAGAGGAGAAGTG